ATAAACTATACATGAAGTGATTCTAATTTTTGATTAAATAGTCTTTTAAGTAAGGTAATAAAGCTGACGAAATCGGTGCAACAAAAGCATGAACATTAATGAAGATTTTTTTTCCAAATCGCAAAAGACGCCATTTTGTTATTATTTAGAATCCCACCCTCCCCTTCCCTTACTTAAAAGTAATAAAGCGAAAACTCAAGTTGAGAAACAGAATGTAATACCAGTTTTATTCTGTTAAGTTTCATAATCGTGAAGTTTCTCACGTTGTTCAAATAGCGCGCTTTGGAAAAAAACTCTTCAAATCATTAAAATACTTAGGGCTTGATGAAATGTCTGCAAATAGACAAGAATAAGTATTTTAAACTTTCACTTTTTTAATGAAATGTATACGTTACATGTTTTGCTTGAATAGATGTTTTGCCAATTTTATAAATTACATGGGGGAAGAAATTTGTAAAAAAAAAAATCATGATTTTGCGTGTATGTCCTTGCGAAGTCTACCGTTCATGCGTACATTGTACGCGAACAGCTGTTACATGCTTCGACACTAATACCTAATAAGTACATAAAACTGAACATGAATTCAGTTCGTCCCATTCTGGCAGAATTATCCTGCAACTGTTTCGAAATCCTCTTATCCCACCTGTTAAGAAAGTTACTTAACCACGCAGTTATATTTACAGCAGCTTTGGTTATACATTGCTACAAAGTGAAGCTCTTTTTTTCTATAATGTTAAATGTTAAGACGAGGAAATAATAAACAAGACAACTGGCAAGCCTCCTTTTGCTCGTCCCTTGAACTTGGTATAAGTATTCAAAGTAGTCATCTGAGTGATATTTGGGGGCCCAGGTGAGGCTTTAAAAAATCGTATTCACAGGTGCCAGTCCAACAGTGAGTCAGTGAGATAGGTACAGAGAGGACTGTAAAGGCTGGCCCTCTGGGACCAGCACAAAGGTTATCTCATTGGTTCGATTACAAACAGAACCAATCTGTCAGTCTGCAGTGCATAGTGGTCATTTTTTGACACGCCCTGTATAATTGTATTATGACTGTATAAATTCAGGATGTTTTCCTTTTTTACATTTCCGATATTTATCATGGGAAACTTTTTTTTAACAAAGAACCGATAGTGGCGCGGCATAGCCCTGATATGCTAAAGGATTGTGCAAATTGTGATAAAAGCATGAAACTTCGCATGTTGGTTCTTCATGCCATGAAGACAATTTTCAGATATACAGGCATTTCATATTTGACCTCTGGTGATCTTTGAGAGGTCAATGAACTTTACACTCTATTCATAACGTTTGTTCTTCAAAACTTCACTTTCCTATGGCCTAAGTCTATGTCATAAGCCTGCAACATATACATCACATAACGGGAGACAGCTTGCAGTATTGATCCAGGTCCAGAAGTATTCATACAATGAAAATAATGATCAGATGTGGGAACATTTCATATCTGACCTCTGGTGACCTTTGAGAGGTAAATGACCTTTGTAAACGTGTTTATTGATATTTGTACCATTTATTCTTGAAACCCCATCTTTTTTTACAATTCAAGTCTAAATGAAAGGCATTCATGCTATAAAGAGAATTTTCATATATAGGACATTTTATATTCAACCAATGGTGACCTTATCAAAAAGGGCAATATTAGGCCAAAAAAAAAAATATTCGGTCTCTGGTCAGACCAAAGTTCCCGAATTGACGCGGGGATGCGGCTTATTTTTTCTTTTTTGTTTTTTTTTCTTTTCTTTTTTCTTCAAGCTTGGATTGTACAGACAAGGTGGGGTACTATTTTTTTTGCTATTTGGTGTCCTCTTGTACATTGGTGTCCTCCATAATTTGCTTTGGTGCTCTCGATCATTTGCCTTGGTGCAATTTCCCATTCCTTGGTGCTCTTTGGTAAAAATTAATTGAGGTGGTGCGACAATAGAGGGCGCTGTTGGAGCTACCGCGGAACATTTTGGAAAAAAAAAGATTGACGCGCTTGATTAAAATCGACGCGTGCGTTGACCAGAGACCGACTTGGCCTTACTGTTCAGAATAAAAGCACTTGTTATCAAAAGAAGGGAACTCTTTACAAATGCGGGGGGGGGGGGGTAAGCGGTGGTGAAAAAAAGGTCATTTGAATGGAAAAGGGCAGTCTTTACAAAAAAGGGGGGGGGAGTAAATACCCCTCTTCCTAGTTCCACTTTCTCTGCAAATCTCACTTATTTTGCACATTTCATTCATCGAAATACCTTATTTTGAGCTAACCATGTTATGAATGCAGGTTCATAGAACATGTGGACCGAGTGTGGACTCGAACCAATATCAGAATCTGTCATTTTGGACAAGTTTTCTGTGAAGCACTTCTGGGAAACTGTGTGTGAAGTTTTGTGCGTGACTTTCACGTGAAGCAAACGGCTGTTTCGTGAATGATCTCGACGACTATTTATGTATTTGCTCTGTGTGTTGTTTACACAGGTTGACTCTTAAAAGTGGAGAGAGCGGGTCTGCACAGTGCTCATAACTCAGATTACTTTTTGCTCATAACTCGAATTACTATTTGCTCATAACTCAGATTACTATTTGCTCATAATTCTGATTACTATTTGCTCATAACTCAGATTACTATTTACCCATGATTAACTCAGACTACCTTTTGGTCAAGAGTGCACGTTACTCAGAGTATATTTTACTCATGTCATAATTAAGCCCATAACTCATAATTGAGATTTAACTCATAAATAGCTCATATCCTAAACTGTATTACACCATAATTATTTTGGGTACATGCATCTGGGCTATATATATTGCTGGAGGTGTTGATACTTGTTCAAAGCAAGACAGTGAGATATTATTTCAATATTTGACGATATTCTTGTAAGCTGATGTGAAATACATTTACTATAGTTCATCATTGCAGATTTAGTTGAATATTTGTACTGATATAGTGATACAGTGCTTACATACACGTAGAACATTTACACTGTGATAGCTGAGCATATCTTTGACATACTACACATATTGCCAAACATTCTTGATATTTTTGTCGCTGGTGGCCCACCACTGGTATTCTTTGGCATAAGCTGTGGCATAGGCTTTCTATTATAGCTTTTGTGTCTTTAACAGATTTGACGTGAAAGATATTTTACTCAAACTTAGAATATTTTAACTGGCTGATTTCCGGATAGTATTAATTTCTTTCACTAATTGTCTACAATTTACTCCAATAAGATTAAGCTTTATTAAATCATTGGAAAACATCTTGACAGTAAATATTGCCTTCAATTCGTGCTCATTTGATTGTTTTCCCCTTTAATTGCCAAGGAGATCTGTTCTTGATTAATCATTAAGCGGACTTACCACATTAGGCAGCAATTACCCTACGCGTAACCGTGACGTTACCAACAGGCTTTCATACTGTGCAAAAACAAACTACACATGCCTTGTACATGTGAAGAAAAAAGTAAGTAACCCAAAAATGTTTAAAGTCACCATTTTTACCGTGTACATACAGTGGCGTCGCCAAGGGGGGGGGGGGCCAGGAGGGGCACGTGCCCCCCCTGGAAAACCTAGTGCCCCCCCGAGTGCCCCCCCATCTGAGATTTGGGTTGGTAAAAAAATATATATATATTTTGTTATATTCAACTCCCATCATCTGAGTTGGTTAAATAGCAATTTCTGGAGATATCTTCAGATCGAATTTAGCATCAAATGTGGCACCATTTTGCATCTAGCCCATCCTCCGTATGCGAAAATTTTCAAAGGGGACCTCCCCTTAGACCCCTCCCCCAGGACGGCGATCCGTATCCACCTAAGTGCCCCCCATCAAATGCTGGTGCCCCCCCTGTGCCCCCCCAGACTGAAAAGTCTGGTGACGCCACTGTGTACATATGTGGCCGGGGTTACTGTTTTCAAACTTGTGTTAAAATCGAAGTATGCCTCAAAAATGGCTGAGTGGTTATGTCGTCTCCCAACTGCTGTCAGCATTGAGTCAAGTCAAGACAATCATTTAAAAAGTGGATGAAAGATTTATTTGAAATGAAATTCTCGGTATTTTTTATTTCCTGGTTTGCTTGTTGGTATCGATTATTTGTATTCGATTATGAATTCGGTTTTATGGTCAGTCTTACTGGGCTATCTTTGAGTGACTAATCGTGCAGACTGTAATTTTGGATCTGCATTATTTTTTTTTCACGGGAAACAATTAGCCATGCACCTTCTGTTCTAATTCACGGCTGAGTGATGATAAATAGGATTATCCACCATCAATTCATCAGATCTTCCAGTCGTCGATGGAGTGCCTCCAGGCTTTGAAGTGCCATTGTCACTTACCGGTACGACATCGGTGTCACCTCCCTTAGTCCCCATGACACCGCTGCTGCTGCTATAGTTGACATATTCGTACACGGCGTCATCGTCCTGTGTCCCCTGAGTGACGAAGTCGCAGACAGTGTCGTCCGGGACGACACTTAGACCGTGTTCCACACTCCCATCCATTTGTGGTACGTCTGCGTAAGTGACCAATCCGCAAGAAGTGTCCAACTGAACTTTGACCCGGGAGTTTTGCGATTTCCGCCCTTGCTTCAAACTCGCTGCGGTAGTTTCCCCCTTGGCCCCATGCACCAATTCTGTAACTGTGTTAGGGATTAAAGAAGCAGCACCGGTCGTCGCATCGTCGCTCCCATCTCCGGAGATCCCTGCATTTGTGTTCTCACTCTCGAGTTCTCGATGCCTCTTCCGTTTCAGGATACACATCATCAGAACACAGCCGACAATCATAAAGAAAGGGGTGAGTAGTGCCGCTGCAATTATGCCAGCGTTGGAATGTGGGACGTTTGAAGTCTCTGCAGCTACAGTAACAGCTGTTGGAACTCGATCAGGGGCGGTTGGGGTATTTAGAAAGATGGGACCGATAGAGCAACTCCTATTCTGTCCTGGAAATGCAGAACTAGTCACCGTGCATACCAAGACTTGATTCTGCAGGTGCTCCCCGAGTTTAACGACACTTCTTACTCGTGCGTTCTGCGGTAGTTCTGTGCTGTAGACGATACCTGTGACTTCTTGTCAGAATGGTCCACTCTCCAAGTGATGGTCACCTCAGGGTTGCCGATCGCAGTGTCGCACCACACGGCGATGCTTTCGGTCGAAATCCGATCGCTTTCATTCGTGGCACAGATTGGGTTTTCTGCCGGAAAGTATTGCACCGATACGAAGATGTATCCAAACGAGTTAGCGCCTCCCCACGTTACATGACATTTGTACCTTCCAGCATCTGATTCGGTGCTGTCAGTTATTTGCATATAAAATGCGCTGTGCTCATCAAACGAGCGAGTTGCGATGGAAACTCGGGGATCATTTGTCTTAATGGTGGAATTCTGGGTGAGCCAATTAGTGTCATCGGATCCAATTGACTTACCCAACCAAACTCGATATAAATCTTTGCTCGGGGCAGAGCAGTTCATAGACAGTGTCTTGCCTTCTTTGATATTAATGAACTCACTGGCTGGACTAGCTGAGCCTTTAGTCAGAAACAGAGGAGTCACTTCTCGAGGAATGCAACTCAGCAAAACCACACTCATCAGAAGGAAGTACACGTACCTCCAAGACGCTGGCTGAAATAGCACCTGCTGTTGCTTGAGTAGCATCATGATGTGTCGCGTGGTTCGTTGTACGCTCGCGACCTAGACTAACTGCTGTGGCGCGAATAAGTAACATTATATACCTATACGAATTTGATATCAAATCACCCAATTATTTATCGTTTCCTCTTTATAACTTGTGACTTGCGGCTGGCATGTTGTGATAGTGTCACAAGTTTTCCTTTTGCCACTCACCATATAAATAAATGTAGAAAAGAAACTCGTGCACGCGAATGAAAAACAAAATGTGACATAACAGAACGATGCATTTCGGCATTTCTTTCGTTTTGTTTCCTTATTTTATTTATTCAACTGTACGCTTCTTTGTAAAAACACACTTTCAGTGTTGAATTTCATATTCGATTTACGTCGACGTTTTGAAGGCAAATTTAGGGCGGAAATGAATATTATGTTAAACTCAATCGGTCCTTTACGGCCTCCCCAGTCAAACAAAAATGGGTGAATAGCCTTCTATACAGGGTGACCCCAAAAATGCAACCCTGATACATTGCGGGTTTTTTTTCCAAATCGCGATCTGTATGTTTAAAGTTTTGAATATCAGATTAAGCTGAGACTTTTTCTTTCAAATACACGTTCTCAAAAAATAATGAAAACAGCACATTTGGTTGCTGAGAAAATGCCAATTATGCCAAATGAAGTAATTTACACTCATTTCCAATAGTGCTTGACAAAAAACATGACACTGTTCGCCCATTGTTCAATCGTCTTTAATGTGTGCGATTTCTTTATTACATGTATATTGAGATATTTATGAAGCCTGAAAGGTTGATAATTGAGCTAAAAATATAAGGTATTTCCATCAAATTCTTTGGACTCTTGTCATGTGCCGTGTTTTGATGTTTTTGTTGGTAAGAACTAGGACAGAATGCGACATGAATTCCATGCACAAATAGGTACATTGTAAGTCTCTAAACTGTGGTAATGTCATTGAAATGGACCAAAAATGAAGTGTGTTAAATAATTGCCATATTGTGACCAACAGGATGAGTTGTAGGTGAGGGGTAAATCGGGCATTGTTTTGAGGATTTTGTGAGGAGGAGGAGGAGTGAGTTAAGGAGTGAGTTGTGAGGAGGGAATTTGTGATGAGGAGGAGCAAGTTGTGGATCTGTGGGGAGGAGGAGGATTAAGTTGAGGAGGGAGTTTGTGGATCAAGTTGTGGTTCTGTGTGGATCAAGTTGTGGATCAAGTTCTATTTAAAGATAGAATAAACGCTGAAAAGATGGAATAAAGACGGCGGCGGCGGTGATGGTGTCTGCGCAGGTCAGAGGAGTACCAAGTTGCGCGTGCGCGTGTCCTTCTCCTCGCTCGCCGTCGAGGTACATCCGCGTTCTTGTTAGCAATTTATTTGAAATGATCTCATCAGTGTCCATTTAATAAGGGAATAAATGTGTGCTCCGGAGATTTTTATCACTCTGTTTAAGACCGCTTAGAGTCTGGGTGCTGATAATTACCCGAGCCGGAGGCGAGGGTAATTATCAGCACCCAGACTCTAACCGGTCTTAAACAGAGTGATAAATACCGACCGAGCACATATTTATTCCCATTCATAAATACCTTTTCGGTAAAAAAAAATATCATCACTTCTCAAGATGTCGAAGCTTAGCAAGTCCAAGAAGAGCAAGTCCAGCCAGCCGCCTCCATCACCATCCAGCTCCACTTCATCCGGTATTCCATGCGGACAACGGTCTCCTACCAGCATTCCAAGCGACGACGAATCACTCCTTCTATCCTGTGAACTAGACTCTGGCCCGTCTACATCAAGATCCACACCAACCACGGTCTCACACAGATTATCCGAGGAAAAATTCAAACTGGTGAAACTCTTGTCAGCAAACGTCAACACATTGACATCTGCCAAGGGTCACATCACCCGCCAAATACGACTCCTTTCCCGGTCAGTCGAGACTAACACCCCACCACCTTATATCGAGGTTAAACTACGGCCACCACGTCCACACAGATCTCTGAAATATCAGAGTTCATTCCAGGATCGCTGGAGCAATCTCCAGAAGAGAACGTCCTTGCTCTTTACAAGAATTACACTTGAGGAATACCAGCACCAACTACACTACACCGAGGCCCAGCTGACCAACACAAGACGCTCAGCACAAGAACAGCTTGCTACTTTCGAGGGTCAAGATCACACCACCGCTCAGCAGTTACTGAGTTTCTTCACAAGACCCCATCAACCATCGAAAGGCATCAAAAGAAAACGACAATATTAGTCGGTCTCCTACTACTAAACCAAACGGTCCTTTTCAGGACCAACACAACCTCTCAAAAGAGAAATATCCATCAGCTTGCCTTTATTATTATTATTATTATTATAAATAAACTGGAATATAACCCACCCCATCTTACCTTATTCGTTATATTCAACCACAAACCCTTCAACTACCATGGCAAGAAGGAAACCCAACAAAGAAACCAAGAGACCAATAAATCAACTGAAATCTAACCATTTCTCTCACAAATGCAATCGAAAACCAAACGAGCCAACTCCAATCTTTTGCGCTCATTAGCAGAACAAAATATCAATGCTTCATAACCAACCTATCCAAAGCAAAACCATCGCAAACCGAAATATTTGCTCTTTGGACAAGGCCTCGACATCTTACCTACTTCTGCTAAACCAAACCGCAATCACTCGTAAGCAGCATCAATAATTATTTCGAGTGAAGACTACAATTTACATTAATAATGCGTAACGTATTATATACGCTCTAAAAACCATCCTTTCAACCACCAATTGGCATCCGAAATCATATTCTAGTGAAACGCTAGAAAATACCCGGAAGCCACTAATTTTAAACTTGCCCACAGGTTTAACATAGACAATCTCAGGATGAAGAAAAATCAAAACAAACTCCACCTGTCTTCACCACGACATACAACCCAACCATAACACACCGTCACTTAAATCGAGCAATAAACAACCACTGGAACATAATCCAAGGCAACAAACTACTGTGCGGAAACATTTCCCGAATCATAATTCGTTGCTTTCAGAAAAGCCATAAATCATATCCGGAAGTAACTACCTAAACAACATCAAGAGTTAAACCCACTCCCGATTTACTCCGGCTCTTCCAAAAAACTAACCAAACCCAATTGCTCTCCTCACTAGAGGAACAAGTTGAAACCAACTAAAGTCACATGGTTGTAACCACAACACTTCAAACTTACGATACATGATTGGAACATAACCAATCACAACTTTTCCGCGAGTCAGCCTCGATTCTTTTTTGAATCACCTATTTGCAACTGAAGAGTGCCCAACAGCAAGGCACGAAAGCATGCTATTGCTAACAAGAGGATTTGCGAACATAATCCTCTGCTCGCACCTTTAATCACATTTGATTACCCAACCTATCATAGTCACTTAATCTCTTATGTCCGCCCACTCTACATTTCACTCGGACATAACCGGCAAAGACTCAGTCATGCTTACAACCCATACTAAGCCATACAAGTCACCAGAGAAGAAGTGTCACTGAATGGGATAGTGCCATCCCTTTTCTAAACTTCGATCGAAAAATCCCGATTTTGTTCAAGAAGTTCACTTTATGCATTTGGAAAAATGCCTCTAGCAAAATAATGGAGTGTTCAGCTGGCGATTAAGACGTAAACAACCCTTTTATGGAGATTGACGCGCACGTGGCACGTTCTGCGCGATGTCGCGCAGAACGCACCTGGGGCGTTGCGTTTTGAATTTAGAACTATAAAATTGTGACTCGCTTGTAGTGTTGCGCATGCCTACGTGAGGATTGTGAAAGTTCAACCAATGAGACGGTAAGAGGCACTGGATTTTTAAGAGTCCACATTTTATTGTGATCCTGGAAAAGTGTTTTAGACCAGCTAGCCATGTCTTTATCATCCGTTTAAGACCGGCCACGTGACGGGCTCTCGACCAATAGGAATAGCTAAACTGTCTGAGGTATTTATGAATAATGTTTATTTCCTGGTTCTGCTCTGTTATCTGTCGATCGCATACGTATCCGGTTTTATTTGTCAATAGACATGACTGAGCAAATTAAATATGCATGGTTCAAAAACTTTCCATTGAGACGGGTTATCTTGTCACATATTTTTTTCATGTCTAATTCACGTCTAATCCAACGTGTTCGAGGTTTGTATAGTCTTTATTGTCTATGTGCTTCATAAATTGTCCTTGGTTGTTGCAGCGCAGTGTTGTGATGACGAGGCTCAGGCTTGATTCTGTGCCAATTCGCGCCCGTGTAGCAGGAATCCCACCATTACATTTAGAATTCAAAACTGGTGTGTTAAACCTTCGCATTCTGCGCTTCTTACAGGCTGCAACTGCAAGTATTGAATAGGCGGTTGCAGCTCCAGTTGTCTCTGGAAATAATGGTCACCCCGTCATAAAGCGTAACAAGCAATGTAAAAAAACACAATGGCCCAATCCCGTGTTCACCGTCAGTTCTTTTCAGAGTCACTTCACTTTTTACGGATATTTACTTCACATGGTGTATCCGTAAAACACTCTACGTAAACCTTGCCACTAAAAAAGCCTAGTACCGGATTGAGCCGAGCCGAGCCTGCACCAGCCAAGCCGAACGGAGCCCCAGCTCAGCCCTGCTCAGCCCAGCCCATCCCAGCCCAGCCAAGACTAGAATTGCCAAGCCCAGCCATACTAGATCAGCACAGCCCAGATCAGCCGAGCCCAGCCAAGCCGGGGGGGGGGGGGGGGGGGAATGGAACCATCTGTCGATTAGGGCGCTGTTCAAAACCAACGATTTCATTTCATTTGTCGATGCGGGCGCTGTTCAAAACCGACGGTTATGCCCAACTATAACGGACAATAATATGGTGCTTTTAAGGGCGATACATGCGCAAAAAAAAAAGACACCCATAACGGCCGAAGGCACAAAAAGGGCAATATTACAGTTCAGAATAACAGCAATTGTTAACCAAAGAAGGGAACTCTTTACAAATGTGGGGGGGGGGGGGGTAGGTGGTGGTGAAAA